TCTCGGTCCTTCACCAAATATCTCTGGGGCTGCTCAGTTGAAGAGGCTGGCAAGGACAGCGGACCTAAGCTGATGACCTCTGGCTCCAGGCAGACAGTGGCTGCTGATAAAGCTCATGAGGACCTTTAAAAAGCATCAAAGCAGGCAGCCCTTTTGTGCCTCTAGATTTCCAAGACCTGGGGGCCAGTGGTGAAATCCAAATTTCTTTACTAAAAAATGTGAAATACCTCTGGACTCGCTCAATTGTATTAATGTCCGATATGCAATGTGGGTTTCAGACAGATGAGTGTATTCGAGAATTGGTCTAGCAAAAGTTTTGTATGCTCTAGTTAGTAGTACAATATTACAAGAGAAGAAGCTACGCAAGATTAGGTTAACGACTATGCCTTTTTGGCAATGTTGCTACAGTGGGCTCTGGCACTTAGATCATTAGAGATGAGCACTCCATTCTTATGGGGGAAATAGGAGGAGGGAAGAGTATTGTATATGTTTGTGGCCTTGAGTTACTTGCAAAGTAATAAAGGCAGGATAACATAAAAAATAAATGCAAAAATCTCCACAATTTGAGTATCAATTGCTGCAAACTCCTGCATGTTCAACCTTGCATCATTTGCAAGGAAAACGGATTATTGTCTCATTCAGGGCAAGTCCTAACTTCCCACTTGGATGAAACTAAGTACGAAGGGCCACCACTGAAGAAGGCAGATTCCTTCTCTGTGAGCAATAGACGTATTTTTGCATGAATAAGATTTCCTAGTTCCAGACTCGTCCTTGTCAAAAGGACGAGTTAAACCGCAGAGTTGGGAGAAATTGTCCCTAGCCTTTCTGGGAATTTAATGTTTTGTTATTTCCCTGGTTATTATTATTATTATTATTATTATTATTCTTTTAAAAGAAAAACGGAAGCCATACATTGCCTGCCTCTTTGTAGTGCATTTGGTTATTTGCTTTTGCGTGTGGAATGATTTGAAGCTTGTTTTTCTCTCTCTTTCCACATTTGGCATTCTGGAAAACTGAAAGAACATAGAGGAGGACCAGACGGGCGAAACCAGCGTCTTTTAAGATCTTAATCTAGCTGCTTCTCTTAAGGAAGACTAGATAGTGTTTTTGTTTATGTAAACACACATGTCATGCAACGTTGTGTGTGTCGACATTTAGAGTGAGCTACAAAGGACACTCGGCAATGTGGTCACATTGCAGCAATAATTTCCTGAATCTGTCAGCCACAATGTCGTTTTTGAAATCAGACAATGAAGCAACTTTATCTCCAGAACAGAAAGTTTTGCCCCTGAACAGTTATGTTACCTAGATTTTGCCTGTCTTCATACACAATCCCCAGAATTCTGTAGAGTTAACAAACATGTCCCAATTTCTTTTGGCAAATATCAAAAGAACTTGTGTGCTGCATTTTTCTTACGTTAGATTTTCTTTTCTTTTTTTAAATCAGAGAAACTTGGTTCTCTAGAACAGATGTCGCTTCACTACAACTCCCATTATCCCAAAGTAGCTTATTGTGAGTCAGGTTTTAGCCTAGTGAGAGTTCGAAGACCACAACTTGAAAACGGTTGTAGTTGGAACTGCAGGGCGTAGCAGCTCAGATAGACAGCTCTTGTTCATGACTTGCAATGCCTTCTTTTGCTATTACCACCCTCTTTTTTTCTCTGCTCACATTCTGCTGAAGTTGGAGCAAAATAGTTAGGAGGAAGATGTTGAAATCCAACCCCAGTAAGCCCTGAGTGGACTCTTCAGATGTTCACTGTTCACATCCTCTCTAAGAGATGACAAATACCAGTGCTTAGATCTTTCATTTCCTTCCCCTTTCTCCTTTCCTTCCCTCCTTTCTCTCTCTCTCTCTATTTTCCCTTTTCCTTTCCCTCTCCTCTCCTCCTTCTCCTCCCTTCTTCTTCCTCCACTCCACTCCACTCTACTCCATTCCTATCCTTTTGGTCTCTTTTAACTGCATCCCTCCCCACCCCTCCCCTCCCCTGTAGGAAGAGCCAATCCTTTTATGTAGCCAAAATGTTTAACCCCCCAGCTGCCCCCTTATTAAAATAATCCAGCAAAGACTGAAAAAAAACCCCATTCCTCAAATTCTGTCTGTAGCAGTATGGGATATGGGCTTGCAAGTTTGCATAGGAGCCTCCCTCACTGCAACATTTGGCTCCAGACCAGGATCCCCTCCCCTCCCCACTGATGAAGGTGTTGTGGTGTTGTAAGGGATAAATGAAGCAGAAGGTTAGAATATCTGGCTTATAAAATGTTTTTTTTTAATAGAAATAAGTGGTGGCATCAAAGCCCATTAACATGTACAAAATGTACAAGAGACAAGAAAACAAAAAAAAATCAACAGACACATGTATCCAGAAACTCCTTTCTACAAAAATTCTGCAGTGTGATTGAAAAATCATCTTTCAGCATCCAGGAGAATCGGTAGAAAGATTTCAGCCCAAATGTACATATCCATAAATATCATCCAGTTCAGGGGTCTCCAACCTTGTCAACTTTTAAGACTTGTGGATTTCAACTCCCAGAATTCTGGAAGTTGAAGTCCACAAGTCTTAAAGTTGCCATGGTTGGAGACCCCTGATTTCCAGTCCAAAGCGTTCGAGCTAGGAAGCTTTGTAATTCTGATAGGGAGGGGAGGTTGGACAAAAGGAGATTTATAGCCTGGGACAAACTAAATTGACAGCAAAAGCTTCTGGTTTTTCCCTCCTCCCTGCCATACGCTCTTCCATTCCCCCCCCCCAAACCTGAATTCATACAGATTGAAACTCGTGCTTTTTCACGATGGTGTCACCAGATCTTTGGACTCGGGGGAAGAGAAGACAGCATAAAGCCCCTTTTTATTGATGTTGAATGCACCAAGCAAAACTTCAACTGGCTTAATGTATCTCCAACAGAGCTGGCTCATTTTTTGGAAGACAGATAAAGGTAAAATACAGAGGAGCGGGTGGAATCTCATAGGTGGATCGGGTATTTGATGGAGAGGTATGACCTAGATATTTTGATTCTTCCCTTTAGGATTTGTAAAATTGGGATTTTTTAAAATCTTATTTTAAGTTTACTTTTGGTCATAGATTATGGGGTGGGGGAGATACACCCCCCCCAATTCTGGAAATCTGCACTCTCAATTTTGGACACAAGGCAGGCAGGAAATAAAGGTACGGCCACCTGTGGCTTAAATCAGGGGTCTCCAACCTTGGCAACTTTAAGCCTGGAGGACTTCAATTCCCAGAATTCCTCAGCCAGCAAAACTGGCTGGGGAATTCTGGGAGTTGAAGTCCACCAGGCTTAAAGTTGCCAAGGTTGGAGACCCCTGGTCTAAATATCGAACCATACTAGCCTTTTGCAAAGGTCGAACCACATCAAATTGCTCCGCTTAGAAACCCCAGGATGAGTCCTGATGTTGCAAAAGTTGTCCGCACCGTGTCTCAGCTGCATATGTCGCTCGGCTAGTATTCCCCAGAGGTGTTGGGACTTCGGCGTCAAATCATTCCCACGAGTTTGGGGAATGCTAATGTAACTAATCGGTGTTTGGATCTCGACCAAGCAAAAAAACAGGGTGAAAGTGAGTTGGGGCAAAGCTAAATCCCACTGCATTCAGGGGAAGCCGGTCATGCGCTCCCATGCTTGTTTACACAGAAGTAGTAGGCCCCAGGGAATTTAGCACGGCTGAGTCCCTATCAGTATGTGTAGGACTGCAGCTGAAATAAACAGACCATCCAGAACCAACCTCGTTATGAAGAGTCCCCAAGTTATTTCTCAACGGACTCCCTTTAGGGATTTTAATTTCGACCCTCCTGCTAAAAATAAGACATGTGTTTGGTAAATGGAAGATGCAACCTCATTCCGCTTAAGATGCGAAGATAGTGACACTCGTGTTAAAACTTATTTGCTTACTTGCCAGTAAGCATGGATTGGGATTTGGAATAGTTCAAAAGATGAGGAAGAACATAGATGGTGTTCTTTGGTATAGGATCCCGGAACAAAAGCCACAAACATAGACGGGGTTTTAAAAGAGGGTTGAAGATATAGAAGAGAAAGGCCCAATAAAACGATGCTTTCACAGAGTGCAATCTGGTTGGGAATTGTAGAGTTGGACGGGATCTCAAAGACCTTCAAATGCAGGGACTGCGGCGTGGTAATATCATAAATGTTTGCCATGGGAGAAGGGCCGGTCTCAACCCTTGGCATTGCCATATTATTGCTGACAATGGAGCCTCATCTGTGTTAAAAAAACTAGAGGAATAGATCCAATGGTGAAATCCAATGCTAATTGCCAGCAGTTTGTTGCCCGCGTATGCACTTCGCATGGAAAAAGAAGACTTCACTAGGTAGTAGAACAGTGAGGGGGGGGTGAACAGCTATGCCACGTGATTTAGCTTCTCTAGAAAGCAGGGTTCCCTGATTTCTAGCGAATATAAACCGCGCGGCACAGCTGATCGTTCGAAATACCAGTTCGAATGAACCGGTAGCTTTTTTTTTATCACTACTGGTTCACCCGAATCAGCGCGAACCGGTAGCATTTCACCCCTGAATAGATCTCCAGGCTGTTAGATGAGCAGATAATTAAATTTGATAGAAGGAACCCATAGATAATTGGGGGAAGGGGGTCTCCAGAGCACTGTTTGAAGGTCTGTTAGCTCAACCCATCACAGTTGCATGGACTTCCTTCTGAAAACGCTAGCCATCAAAACCCATCTCTTCCCCTTTTTCAAATCTCACTTCGACCGACAAGAGATGCAGCGTTGGCCCAGGTTCTCCTCTCCAAACCAACTTACCGCTGCATGAAAAACATCACAAGTAATATCATTCCCACATACGAAGTTTTGGATAGACAGATGCTCTTCTGAAGGCACATCCACCTGGCAGGTTTCCGCAAGGCCTGGCTCAGGGTAGACAAGCAGAAGTCCTAGATCAGTGTTTCTCAACCTTGGTAGCTTGAAGATGGGTGGACTTCAACTCCCAGAATCCCTCAGCCAGCAGCGCTGGCTGGGGGATTCTGGGAGTTGAAGTCCACCCATCTTCAAGCTTCCAAGGTTGAGAAACACTGTCCTAGATGGTTTGTTTCCCAAAACAAGGAAGGATGCTTTCGTCTGGATATTGCAGAAGGCAATCTGTGAAGGCACTAGTGCTGCATGACGAGTGCCCCGAAGGAGGGCACAGAATTGTGGGGCTGGGAGTGCAAAGGTGCTGGACAAAACAAAACAAAATAAAACAAAACAAAACAAAACAAAACAAAACTCCCCAAACCAGTGAAACCCAGAGCAAGAGCTATTTTCATTCAAAATATGGAGGCTAGGAAGTCCTCTCCTCCAGGGGAAGTGCTGGTTAAGTGCCATCTCTAATCTCTCTTCCGGAAGCTCTTCCACTACTTATAAAAAAGGAAGAGGCCTAAAGAATATAGTCAGGTATTTCTCTGTGCGGTTCATGGCCGATAGGCTGACACTTGTTTTAATTGGCAGCAGTGAAAGAAACCACTCCACCCATTACTTCCCAAGCACTGCTGAAATGGAGGAAGTTTGGAGAAGCCTAGGGTGAATGTTGGGTTGCTCCATCTAGTTCTGATATTCAGAACCAGTTCCGGGCCTCGGGATCCTAAATCGATCCTTCTGGCCCAGGGTCCCTTTTGTGGATCTGGGAACTCTTATAATAATCAAGTGGATTCCTAAAAGCCCAAAGGCTGCCAGTTCTGATTCAGAAGGATGGAAGTAGCTTCTGAGAGGTATACCAGCAACATGTTCTCCCTTCAATCAGAGACAGCAGAGTTATAGTACCACCCTCCAGGAAACAAAACGCGAATTCCTTTCCACGAAAGAGTTTGGTCACTTCCTTTGTGATGCAACTTCCCACTTATCATCTCAGTTGCCTGGACAGAGCAACCCGCAAGCAAGATCTCCAGTGCAAGAGGAGGGGAAGACCCCAGCAATAGCTACCTATCTTATTCAGTTTCCTAAACGACAGCAGGACAGACATTCCCAGAGCAAGAAGAAGCTGGCGGTAAATCCCCAGCAGCCGGCATCCCCTTAACTCAGTCCCGCTTCGGCCAGACTTTGTGTTTGACTTTGACCGTCATGTAGAGGGCGGTGAGGCCACAGCAAGCCATCACCACAAGGCACATGATGGAAAAAAAGGGAGCGAGGTCACCATGCAGCTTAGCATAAATGTCCCGCCTAGTCCGGTAATCGACAAGCACCGCCTCTAACTGGATGAAGGTACAAAGTATGAGGAACATGTGGAAGAGCTGGTGGCCTTGTCCAACAAAGTGACACTTCCCAGGAAACCACTTCTCGGGGTAGGGGTAGGCGAAAAAAAAGGCTGCAACCAGGAAGCACAAAACGTGGCACTTATGGTAGGTAGCAGCCAAGTCGCTTTTTCCAGAGATAGTGGAGGTGTAGATACGATGAAGCACAGGGCTGATGTCTAAAGCATAGGCTACTGCGGAGGGCATTTCCTGGCAGAGCCTGCCCTGCAGAGGGGAGAGGTGTGGGCATCGGTATTTGGCATAGCAGGAACCAGCACAGGACAACCAAGCCAACCCCACCGCGCCCAGAATGTAGAAACTGGAGATCCAGGCATGCCATTCTGGCTCAATGGCATAGTAATAATGCACCAAAGCGCTACCGTACTGGTAGGTGGCTACCCCTACATAGTCCAAGAAGAAGAACGTGTAGTGGCAGAACTCAGACTTGGCTTGCAAGAGATGAGCCAAGGTGCTGAAGGTTGAGTAGATGATGGAGGACACAGCCACGATGCAGAAGGGCTGTGCGTGTGGGTCGCCCACAAAATCCACTATCTGGGAGAGTTGCCAGAACCGCCCCAGCAGCATGAAAGCCGCCAGCAGATGCGTCCAGACGTTGAGCGCTTCGTTGTGCTGCTGGAAGAGGGACAGGAAGTAGAAGGCCCAGCTCCGGTGGAGGGGTCGGTAGCCGGCGTGAATGTAAGGCTTCCGGAAAAGCTGGGGCACCTCCGAGGCTGCTACTGTGCAGGATGCCTGAGCAGGCAAGGACTTGGACAGAAGTTGAGGGATTTTGCACAAGTGCTGGAGGTTGATGAAGAGGTGGCTGAGTTTTTCGGATACAATCGTTGCCATGACAGGAAAGTGAGAGACCTTGAAGTGGGGGAAAAAAAAGACATTCAGTGGGAGAACCCAGCAAAGCCAGCGGGATTGATCTCGATCAGCATTCTAGGACAACGGAAGTGGCGGGCCAGCAGGCCATCGGGAGGAAGCAGATGTATACACCGACACCCCCCCACCCCCAACACACAAGCACAATTCGACAGGAACTTAAGACTGCGGCCACCTGGTGCCTCTTCATCTGGAAATGAAGCTTTGCTGCTGAACGCAGCAGGACTTGCTTTTTAAGTAAACACACCCACTACTACGCTGTTTGGATACAAGCAAAACAGGAGTGCGAGGAAGAACAAAGTTCGAGGTGGTAAAATGGAACAAATGCTAAATGGTGTTACGGGCTTTCGGTTTTACCCCAAACAACCTGGAGCATTTGAAAGCAAGGCTTGAAAAGTCAGAAACTGGAGGCTTAGCGGAGCAGCAGGCCAGGCAGTCCATATAACCTAACTGATCGCAAACCGTTCTTACCTTGATTCAGATTTGACAAAAACACTCCCATCCAGGCAGCCCTGTCTCAGTTTTCTAACTACCTTGTTTTCCCAAAAATAAGACGTCCCCGGATAATAAGCCCAATCGGGCTTTTGAGCGAATGCGCTAAAATAAGCCTCTCCCCGAAAATAAACCCTCCCTGAAAATATTTAAACAGAGCTGGAAATCAGGTAAGATGGCAAGAGGAGCCCCAAAATAATAAGACCTCCCCGAAAATAAGGCCAAGCGCTTATTTCGGGGTTCAAAAAAGTATAAGACAGGGTCTTATTTTCGGGGAAACACGGTAATTTTCTAGATAGTCCAAGAAGAATTAATTCTAATTCTAAAGTTTCTAAATTGTCAAATTGCATAACTTGCAATTAACAAGTTATTTGTTTGTGTTTGTTTGTGTTTGTCCTCAGTTTGTGGACCAGGACTGCTCTGTGGCATGCCAGAAACCAGGCCACGCAAACAAGTGAAGCCCCAGCCACAGGATGCCAGCAGCACACAAACCCATGCTTCATGCCACACAAACCCTCCGATCCATGGAAAAACCTCTCTCCACGGAACCTGTTCCTGGTGCCCAAAAGGTTGGGGACCACTGATCTAACCCAGATATGTAAGTAAGGGATGAGTAAATCAGATGGGTGGATGTGCATGTACCCAATACAGGTAGTCCTCGACTTACAAAGCACAATTGAGCCCAACATTTCTGTTGTTGAGTGGGACATTTGTTAAGTGACATTTTGCCCCATTTTCCAACCTTTCTTCCCCCAGTTGTTAAGTGAATCACCGTGGTTGGTAAGTTAGTAACCCAGTTGTTAAGTGAATTTGGCTTTCCCATTGACTTTGCTTGTCAAAAAGTTGCTAAAGCTACTCACGTGACCTTGGGATACAGCAACATTCGTAAGTATGGACCAGGTTACCAAGCATCTGGATTTTGATCATATGATCATGGGGATGCTTACAATGGTCATAACTGTGAAAAACGTTCATAAGCCCCCCCTTTTTTTAGCGCCATTCTAACTTTGAACGGTCACTAAGTGGACTGTTGTTAGGTTGAGGAATACCTGTACAAAATTACTTACAACCTTCCTGGATCACACATGATAAAATTCTGCTTAGGATACTGTTCAGCAGGGATGTCAAACTCAAGGCCCAGAGGTAGGGATCCAGCTCATGGGGTGCTTAGATATGGCCCGAGGGGCTGCCCTGGAAACAGAAAAGAACTGGCCCATGGTGCCTCTGCCAGGGAAAACGGAGCTTGGGAGGGCCTCCTGCAGCCCTCCCGAGCTCTGTTTTCCCTGGCAGAGGATTGCAGGAGGTCGTTGCAGGCAAAAACAGAACTCGAAAGCCCATTTTTTCAGGCAGAGCGCTCTGGCCACCACAGGTGCCCCCAACACAAGTGACATCAAGCTGGCCATGTCCCCTTGCCAAGCCCCCCCCCATGCAGCCCTCCTGAGATCAAACACAACCCTGATGTGGCCCTCAATGAAACCCCTGTTTGAAACCCGTAAAGGTAAAGATTCCCCTTGCATATATATGCTAGTCGTTCCCGACTCTAGGGGGCGGTGCTCATCTCCGTTTCAAAGCCGAAGAGCCAGCGCTGTTTGGACGTCTCCGTGGTCATGTGACTGGCATGACTCAATGCCAAAGGTGCACGGAACGCTGTTATCTTCCCCCCAAAGGTGGTCCCTATTTTTCTACTTGCATTTTTTTACGTGCTTTCGAACTGCTAGGTTGGCAGAAGCTGGGACAAGTCACGGGAGTTTACCCCGTTACACGGCACCGGGGATTCGAACCACCGAACTGCCGACTTTTCGATCGACAAGCTCAGTGTCTTAACCACCGAGCCACCGCCTCCCTTGAAACCCCTGCTGTACAGCAATTCAGAAGAATGGAGATAAATAGGTTGGCTTGCCTAAAAAACCTACACGAATGAAAGATCATTCAGCTCTGAAAAAAAACAAAAGGGCTCCTAACTTTATGGAGATGGAGAAAATTACGGGAGAAATGACAGGGGCTCAGCTCAGGGGCTGCATTTGTGCGTCCACAGGAAAGAGAGAGAGAGAAGGAAGAGCTCATCCTTCTTAAAAAAAAAACTGCCTGCTGCAGCACATCTGCACCACCTAACAGCTGGTTTTTTGTTTTTGTTTTGTTTTTTTCCCCCTCCTTTAGGCTTGTTTTTCTCTCCTCGCCAGAAGACAAATGTGCAGGGCTAGCGGTCTAAGGGAGGCATCAGCGACAATGCACGTGATGGAGTCTTTCACCAGGCAGCAGTGAGACCGAATAAGCTTTTCAGCATCACGAGCGTGTGGCTGTGGGCCGTTTGACAGGCAGAGAATGCGAGGCGCCCGGCGTGCCACTCAGGAGCAGCATGGCTGGGTAGAAGAATTCGTTCCACGAATCTTCTCTTTAATTGCTGTACAAGAAGGATAGGAGCCTGGATAGCTCTGCAGACAAGGCACTGTAATTTAACACCAGCTGCCTGCAATTACTGCAAGTTCAAATCTCGCCAGGCTCAAGGTTGACTCAGCCTTCCATCCTTTCTAAGGTAGGTAAATTGAGGACCCAGTTTGTGGGGGCAATAAGCTGACTTTGTATAAAATATACAAAAGTATGAATGCTATTGCTTAACGCACTGTAAGCCACCCCGAGTCTCCGGAGAAGGGCAGCCATATAAATCAAATTTTAAAAAAAGAAAGAAAAAAAAAAAGAAGCCTGTCTAAACCTCCAGAAGATTTTTTTTTTAAATCCCTCAGTTTATAAATGATTGACAGGCGTCATATTTATTCTGGCAGCTTTGTCCTCTTGCACAACACAAGTAGCAGATTGGTTACTTCCTCAAATGTCTTCTTCAGTCAGGCTGCACTTTCTGGATGGGAAAGGAGCTGGGTCAGGATTACCTCTCACTATCTGTCAGAGCAGTGGTGAAATCCATTTTTTTTTACTACCAGTTCTGTGGGCGTGGCTTGGTGGGCGTGGCAGGAGAAGGATACTGCAAAATCCCCATTCTCACCCCACTCCTGGGGGAAGGATATTGCAAAATCCCCATTCCCACCTCACTCTGGGGCCAGCCAGAGGTGGTATTTGCCGGTTCTCCAAACTACTCAAAATTTTCGCTACCGGTTCTCCAATCTGCTCAAAATTTCCGCTACTGGTTCTCCGAACTGCTCAAAATTTCCGCTACCGGTTCTCCAAACTGCTCAAAATTTCCGCTACCGGTTCTCCAGAACCTGTCAGAACCTGCTCAATTTCACCCCTGTGTCAGAGGCCAAAATCCGACTTGAAATTTTACTCCCAAGAATCAGATGGGTGTCTTTGATGGCATCAGGCGAATAACAATCGCCTTCTCTGCATCGCTTCTCCCCAATCAGATGTCCTCCAGATGTGTTGGACTCCCAACTCCCACCAACGCTAAGTACAGGTGATGGACTTAGCAGTCAGACACATCTGGAAACACTTGTGGGGGAGAAAAGGCTGCCTGGATTGACCACATGAAGATCTTGTAAGGAAGGGTAAAAAGCACAAGCTGTGTTCACGCAATTATGCTTGACCTCACTCAGGGCCTCAAGAGGACCACTTTAGAGCAAAGATACAGGAGTAAAGTTCTTCACAACTCTAATGGCGGCTTCCACACAATTGGGAGGTGGGTAGGAATAATCCAATGTCATCATCTCCATCTTTTTTCATTCCTTTCTTACAGATAGCAATAGCACTTAAACTTATATACCGCCTCACAGTGCTTTTACAGCCCTCTCTAAGCAGTTTACAGCCTATTCTCCCAGCAATCTGGGTCCTCATTTTACCCACCTCAGAAGGATGGAAGGCTGAGTCAACCTTGAGCCTGGTGAGATTTGATTTGCTAAATTGCAGGCAGCCAGCAGGTAGCAGAAGTAGCCTGCAGTGCAGTGGTGGGTTTCAATTTTTTTTATTACCGGTTCTGTGGGCATGGCTTGGGGGGCGTGGCATTGCTTGGTTGGGCGTGGCTTGGTGGGTGTGGCAGGGGAAGGATACTGTAAAATCTCCATTCCCATCCCACTCCAGGGGAAGTTTACTGCAAAATCCCCATTTCCTCCCGATCAGCTCAGGAGTCAGAGAATAGATGGGGGCGGGGCCAGTCAGCATTTTTACTACCGGTTCTTCGAACTACTCAAAATTCCCGCTACCGGTTCTCCAGAACTGATCAGAACCTGCTGAATTCCACCTCTGCTGCAGTGCTGCTGCATTCTAACCACTGCACCACCGTGGCTCTTGATTTTATCAGTTTTACTTCTGTAAATAAATGAATAATAATAATAACAATGCTCATCTGTTTTAAGAATGTAGTCTTCGCCTCCCATAAGAAAGCATCCTCATGTAACCTTCAACCTTCCATTAGTTGTGGAGAGGATGATCAAAATTATGGTGCTGCCTTCATTAATAATACTCTTGCTCACTAACCACTTTGGGTGGCCAGAAAGAGAGGAATTCTTTCTTTTGGTGTGCAGAAATATCTAGGCGACTTCGCC